AAAAAAAAAACAAACCAGTCCTGTTTCTAGAGTACTATCTCCAGAAGTTGACTAGTGATATATGAAATAAAAAAAGATGCACCATCCTTAATCAATGCCTCCTCATATCAGGACGACATATATAATTGCATTACTTCATGCTATTTATTTCATACTACAGCATCACTTTCAAATATATTTTCTAGGTAGCAGTTGCCAGAGAAGCTACTAATTTGCATTTAAGCAAAACTTCCAAAATTTCCAAACGCTTATTTGTCTTGGGGAAGTAACATATTTATGTGAACAAGCAAAGAAATCACCATTAGATTTTTCACTTAGTCACCAGTATCAGTCATTGGCACCTCCATGCTTACAGTGAGAAACTACATTGTGTGTCTTGTCTGCTAAGGAATTAGTCCGCTTTTTTTAACACAACCTTGATTTTAAGATCCATTTGAAATTCATTTTATAAGATCTTACTCAATGTCTGAGCTATTTGTGTTTGTTATTCAGCAAGCTCTGCTGGCCACTGCTTCTTACTGAGCTGAATGGCAGAAATGACCATTCTGTATTATCTTCTTTTAGCAGGGTAAGCAAAGGCAAGCTAATAAATGCTATTTAGCCTTGAAAAAAAACCATAGAGCTAACCCCCAAACACCCAGTAATGTTATCAGTAAGCAGGAAAATCTGAATCAATTATTATTTTGTATCTGGAAAATATGGAGAGCTAACAGTTTTCTTGACCAGAACAAAGTCCGTAAAGCAAAAATAATTGGAAGTAGATTATGTTTGTGAACAGGTAGATTGTTTCAGAGGCTTGTACTACAAAGTGAAGAAATTCAATATTAAAAACAAACTGAAGACCCTGCCAAACAAGTATAATTTAAAACACAGAAGGACTGCAATTTTACTATTGCAGATTCATGCAAATAGTCTTAAAATAGATAGAAGACAATCCTGAATATAATCATGACATGGAGTAATGTGAACATATTCTGGTGAATCCTTACCAGTTATCACTGTTAGACTGCCACTCCAAGTCATCAAAAACACCAGCCAATTTAAAATTATAAGTTTTAAAAAGTGAGCACATACTAAGCTCATAAAACATCTTTTTTAGATGAGAACGGAGACTTCTATTTACTTATTTAATGCAGGAGCCAGATTTTGAAGGCAAAAAACAAACACAAAAACCTGTCAACTTCCCATCACATATTGTAAGGACTGCAGTAAAACTGTAAGTCTTCACAGCCCTGAAATTATCTTTCCTGAACATTTACTTTCAATCAATTTATTGCTCAGTCAACAGAACTGCTACAGCAAATAACTTCTTACATACCCTATCACCAGCATGTCCTAGACTGCAATGTGGGAAGGGGTCTCAAAGATGAGAAAGCACTATGGGAGACATGCTAACTTTCATCCTTGGCTTTTTTTCATTCTCCTAACAAAGGAAACTGAGAGAGAAAATAATTGTCCAGAACAGAGTGATTAGAGACCAGCAATGACCTGTCGGGTGGTATCATGTTCAATGCACCACACTGCTCTGGACCAACACGGAGTCCTGAAAGGGGAAGATTTCACAGCCCTTGACCAGAGAGCCCTGGCACCACATTCCCCCAGGAAATGGTTGAAACACGTTAGTCACTAGTGAAATCACATCACTGCGAACAGCTAGAGTAATAACAAATCAAGTGAATTTATAAATACCCTGTAACTCAGAACATTCTTCCTTTAAAGCATTGGTTTCCATTTGTTTCTGTACTGTACTCTCATTAAAATCACACACAGCCTCTGCCCTCGTGACTACACAATTAACCAAACAATACCTAATGGGGGAGAAATAATTTTTCATTACTTTTCGTATCAGTGGAAAAACTACCAGCAATAAAGAACCTGGCAGTGACTGCACTTTATATTTACATACTGATAGTTGTAGAACAGCTGTCTTTAGCTCAGTTTTTACAGCCCCTTTCCATGGTAATATCTAGGGCCACTGAAATCAGTGATGTCAAGAGTTCACCTACTGTGAATACAGAAAGAATAACCTTTTTCTTTCTTCCTCCTTTTACAAGCTGCACAGAAAAACATTTGGATGCTTGTGTAGGTTTTGCTAGCTTACGCTTTTTTGTTTATACTAGTATGTGTGAATATGCAGTAGGATGGCTCTGTGCACATGAGAAGAATTTATTGGAATTAAAAAAATTTTGTCCTTCATTCTGAAAGTGATGGGGGAAGCAGTCATTCTTAGCTAGCATGGGACTGAGTTCTAGAAGCTAAATCCAAGCATTTATGAAAGAAAGGTGCTCACAAAAAACTCTGCTGCAGAGGGAAACGGTTTGTCTGGAACATAGCTGCCAAGGAAGCTCATAACCAGAAAGCAGAACGCTTAGCAAGCTGCATAGGAACTGATCTCTTGTCCTGTAAGCCTTTTAGACTTCCAAAGGGCTTCTGTTCTGCAGTAAAACAAAAGCAGATCTTCCAAAGGTTTTCATGAGACGCAACACTGGTAGAACAGCAGGTCAGGGATGAAGGAACTTGCATGGGAAGGTAGAGAAACAATTTTATCCCTCTGGTCTGAACCATGTAGAACATATCTGGATATGGTTTTCCCAGCTTCAAGACGTCTCCTGACTGCCATACTATTTTACTATTCTGGGGTGAGTACTTCTGTCCTCTTCCTCTACTTTTGACTGGAAATTTCATCCTAGAGTTTCTCTTACAATGGAGAACACAAGGAATCAGGAACTACGGAATTCTTTTTCTGCTGGTCATATGCACTCTCAGACTTATCGCAGTCTAAGGGAAGGGCAGTTTAGATGATTCCCCTCGCTATTATATGGGCAACATATTTTTACTAAGATCCTCCTTTTACATGACTTTCTTTCTTCCGTTGTACAGATAATTCTGTCCCATCTGTAAGCTTGAAGTTAGTATTTTTCTGCCAGTTTGTCACTTCATGCTTTTGAGCTTTAATCTCTGTGATCTGTAATTGACTGGAAACAACTACTTGTGCTTAAACTAGTTATCAGCCTGCAATATATCATAACCCCTTCAGCTTACTATTCAAGAAAACTTCACATGAAACAGTATCAAAATACTTCTTCAAATTAGAAAAGCCCTGAGGCATCTAGAAAGTGCATCTTTACATGCTATTAGCAATCTGGTCCCTATGAGGCTTCTACACACTATCAGGATCTTCAACATGCATGACATTTGACACAGGCTCACGGCCTGTTGCCAATGTATTTATAAGTTTAGGAGTCATGAAGAGTATTCCTATTTTTTAAGTGGGCAGCTTCATGTCTGCTGCTGCTTCGATTTTCTCAGTGACTCAGTGACTCTGAAATCAGACCAGAGAGAAAAAGAATCAAAGGACCTGAATCAACTCCCAAACGAAGCAATAAAAAGACCGCACAAACCTCAGTAAAAGCTGAATCAGAGCCAAAAGCATCCATCTTGATATCTATATCCTATATTTTGTAAAACTCTGTGCTGTCACAGGAAAAACCTGCAGTCAAGCACTGATCTTAAGAATCAAGCTGTTTCTATGAAAATTACTGGGAACAGGATGGACCAGCAGACAGGAACCGTTCTCACATTGAATGGGTATTTCTCCTAATATGCAAAAAACACCAAACCAAAACAACCCAACACTTTCTGGAAAGATTGCCCTGAAATTCTGGCAATAATTTTGAGAGAAACATTTCTTTCACAACCTGCCCCCCAAACCAAGCTGGTAGCACTCTCAAAAACATTTTGGAAGAGCAAGAATATTTTTATAAAACATGAGACAGTATCAAAGGACAAGGACACAAATTATTTCAAAACTTTTCAGGTGAAGATATCACGAGGCTGATTGACTCCAACATCATGTAGTCTGCTTATGCATTAACATGCACTCACTTCACACTTTTAGAAAAAAAGAGAAAAAAAATCACAAATGCATGTGAGTTTGCCAACCACTCCCTTTGGAAAAAAAACCAGAATTTGTTGAAATGGCCAATCAACAGGTATCTTTCTCCTTGCCTTTCCTCTTTGTAGGTTCTACAAAAAATAACTACTGCTGTATGTGTTGGTGCAGATGTCCAGCATTGGACAGATGTTGGCTTCACGTTCTTCAGACAGTGGGTGAAGTGGGGGACCTGACCAGCTGCCTTCATCAAGAACATTATTCTCCAAATTGGGTCCAAAAGCTATTGTTGTAGATGTATGATCGACCTCTAACAGCAAGTATCTAAGTCCTGTTATGAACTATTTAAAACAGCTCCTCAAAGCTGATAAATCACTGATCACTCATCTTCCAGACCAATCACGACTTCAGATTTAACTCTACTTCCTAGTCCTGAAGAGGACTTCAGCACAAATGAAAAGAAAGTCACTGATAAACTCCTAGTCTGAGGAGCAAGAGTCACAAATTTCAGCCAGATCTACGCCCACGTTCCTCAAAGGCAGCTACTCACAGTCTTATACTCCCCCAGCAGGCCACAGATATAAGCATTGTCACAGTATCACCTGCTTTCTTAAGAGCCCCAGAAATACTTTGATGGCTTTAAATGGTTCACTTACTAGCTTTCCTGTTCTCCCATCCTAACATCCAGCTAGCTTTGCTTTATTTTCAGCTGAATTCTTTTAGGTGCATCTGTCTAGGGAATTGCAGGCCCTGCAGTACGCCCAGCTTTCTGAGTAGCACCAAGTGCTTGTGAATTCAGAATGCCAGACAAAAAAATGTAACTTCAACTAGCTTTAAAGATGGTTTTAACCAGTGGGCTAGGAGTGCTTTTCTTTCATGTAAGGCCATCTTAAATGTGACAGTCTCCTGCAGATAAATCTATAAAGCTGAAAAGGGAAAATCAAAAACATTTAAAACAATTGGAATATCTAAAAAAAAAGTTACATAAAAAAGCAAGACATCAAATGGGACATATCAAGCTCTTCATGGACTTCTGTGCAATCTCAGACAAGTCAGCTTAACCTTTTATGTGTCCTTTTCTCCAGCTATAATGAAATCCTTATTCTGGGATGGCTTGCCACTCTGGGGACTAGTAAATAACAGGGATACTTGTATTATAAAAGCTGTAAAGCAATTAAAACTTATACAAAACAGACAGCTTAACTTCCTCTTATACAATCTATGCCTGGACTGCTACAGTGAGGTGCGTCTTAGAGAGCAAAGGAACGGTTAGCAAAATGGATGGTGTCATTTCATCACAGCACAAAACACTTGATTTTCATCAAACATGTTTATCTTCATAGTTTCCAAGCACTGTATGCCCTTCAGTCTGACTGAGCAAGAAGGCCAGTATGTTTAACTATAATAGGCAACAATCTTAAGCAAATAAACTTCCAAACCACTATTCTCTGCCTTTCTTTAAGACTAATTGTCACTACTGAATGACAAGTAGTTCTGCAAGCAGGAGAAATAACAAGGCCTTGTTCTCTCTACTCATGTTTCTTATCCCTAAGTGTTCTGACCACAGCCCCTCTTCAGCTCAGACATTTAATAAAGGCTTATACTCACCTGGATTCTCTGAAGTCTAACTAGGGTTGAGCTCACACTGAAGTCTTTCTTTAAAGATGCCTTAGAGGGTTTCTTCCCTTTCCCCATTCTTGTGAAACCCGGAGAAACATGATTACCCCTCTGCCAAATCTGACTGAAATCTGCCAGTAAATTTCAGACATCCCAGGGGGGAAAACTTAGTGGTCAGATACACACCAACAGACTGTGATCACACAAACTTTGGTTTTCTGAGGCAAACAGGATAAAAGCAGCTGTATGAAAAATTCTATTTGCACACTACAGCAATTGTCCATCATCAATAATTCTTTTAAGGAAACATTTCCATTTGTGAAAGAAAAGGGAAAGGAAAAACAGTGCAGAAGTAGTGAAGCCATTAAATATCAGGCAGAAACAAGAGACTTCAGACATACTGGTGGTATTTAACAAACAACATTCTAAGTGGCAGAAAGTGCTGTCATTTTCAGCATTGTAATGCACCTTAAATCCCAAAAAGAATCCTCAGCAGTGCACACTTATTAAGTTGTGTTATTCAACCCATCCTCTACCTTCACAGTTCCTGTAATAGAGGATATTTTCCAGGCAAAACTTAAATCCACAACACTGTGCAGATAGAGCACTCAATTAGCTCTGTCTCTTAAAACTCATTTTCCTCCTCCTCTTCTATTCATGTTTCTGACACACGAGCTGGTATAATTTTAGAACTCCAATTTTGCAGCCCCCTCGCTGCTGTTGGACCTCACACTTCTTTCTCAACATGCTTTTCTTTAGTCAAGAAGTAAAATCAAACGATCACTTTTCAAATGGAGAAACATCTGGCAGCTGCAATTTCCATGACAATGTCTTGACTACAGATGATTCTCCATCTAAACCTTATATTCAGAAGCTCACTGGTGAATTCTGTAATTGTATCTCTTTTTATCCTCCCCTTGTAGAAAGCAAATCCTGCATATTGAAAATTTCACACAAATTCTAGACAACTATTGCAAACAAACTAAGTATTGGTTAAATTATTAAAATTCTTAATCATCTTTGGAAATCTATTAAGTGAGTCAAACACTTGACTGCATTAATATCTACCCTCCTGCAAATAGGTGCTACATCCTACTGATACCTAGGCTTCTCAGATGCTTCTGGACTATATATGTTCATATGACTACTGCTGCCTGGGCTATCTGTTGCCAAGTAACACGGGGATACTTCTGTCTCTGTAGCACTAAGTGAATCTTCCTCTTCAACTGGGATCTCAGTTCAGTAAATCATCCCCATATGCTCAGGGGTTGTGATGAACACAGCTCTAGAAGGCTGAAGGCCCCAAATTTTCTTCTCAGGTTTCGGAATCTGCAATCCTGCCTCACATCAGTGAAATTATCTTGCTGTTCTGTCAATTTACTCAGCAAGAAATCTTCTCTTACTACTAGATTATGTAAATTCTGTAAGCTTCCTATGAATTGTGTAGGCATGATTAGTGTAACCTCTTCTTTTTTATCCCAGTCTCTCATATAAGAGAATCAAGAATTCAAATCCTCAACCATTAACTCCAATCCTCTGTAATTACATGTTATAGTTAAGTACTTAGTTACAGGTTTCATGTTATTTTTCTAATTATGGAACACAATTTCTCTAAAACATACGAAGGATGCCATACTGCTGTTCACTGCCCTGTGAAGACAGATTTAGCTTTAGAAGACCAGCTAAACCTTGTCTTTAGGGGAGTATGTCCCCATTTAATGCATGTTTATAAAGCTGCAGATCATATTATTGTACTCTTAATTACATGATCACAGGTAATTCCTCTAAGAGCAATCAGCATGTGCCTATCTGCCTCCACTAACTCAAGAAGAGTCTGACAATGATTTTAGCAAAAGCAGAGCTGTTCCCTGACTCGGAACAGCATTTGTAACACAAGTCATCTCACATAATTACATCTGAGCATAAAGTTTAGGTGCTTTGCACCTAATCAGTCAGTAGTGCGCAGAACTAAGGCTGCCATGGTCAGCTGCTGACTGCTGGGTCTCTGACTTTGAACTATGAGGCTAGTATCTGCATGTGATCCCAGGAAGGGAAACAGGGCTACACATACATTGCACTACCCATGCACATCCCGTTACAAGATCCAACCCATATTGTACTTAGAGGAAAAACATTTCTGAAAGGCTCAAAACTTGGCCCAACATTAAAGTTGATGGCAATACTCAAAGGTAGTCTTCTTTTATAGAGACCACTCCTCTGGCAAATTTTCAGCTTTCAATTTCCAATCTTTTCAGAACTAAAGCTCTTCAGAGGAACACCGAATTTTATTTTGTTTTTAATTGGGACTCTGAAATGTTTTCAGGTTTTTTTTCCTCACACACTCTTATTCAAGTCTTCCATTAAATTTTCAACCTCCAGTAGAATCTGTCTGGAAAATTTCAAGGAGAATGGTTAAAATTTCAGAAAGTTACGAGTAGCTGGAAGTAGAGGTTTGAAAGGAAACAACTACAAATCCTGAACCAAAGCTGTCAACGGCACTTCAAAGTAGTACAATGCCTACAGTATCTTCAGATTATCTCAGCTCATAGTAAACTTCTGAAAAGCATTTTTAACAAGAACTGGTTGGTTGCCTTGGAATCACAGCTAAGGGAGAGAGGGTCCTTCAGCCAGCCGATACCGCCAGCATTAGCACCCAGGAGTTTCTGTGAATGCTCTGAAAGACCACACATGCTGCGTCTACCTTTAACAGTCAGAGTTTCCAACAGTCATGCAACAATTTACAATCCTATTAAGCAGCCAAACAACTCTGCCAACATGTTTCTTATTCACTACTGTGGGCACTTAAAGCAAGCATTTTGTCTGCACTACTGTTGAACCAAATGTTGCTGTTAAAATACTGTTTTTTCCTCAGATGGTGTCAAATATTAATTCTAAGGTAGTTGGACTAAACCCAGATTTCAGCTAGTACAGGTGTCGTGGTCATATATCCTTTATTCTGAAGTCAAACTAATGACAAGCTACATGTGAACAGAAGTTGTCATGATAAAAGCTGTTCAGCAACTTCACATTAGTAAAGTTGTCAACAACTGAAAACTTTTGTGGGGTAGAGGAAGCGATGTGGGTAAGTACAATCATGTTCTTAAACTCTGGAATCTTCATGGGCTTTTACAGGTTAATCTTATGAAGATTTGTTCTACAATTCAAAGATTTATTTCTCTCCCAGAGCATGGGACTTTTGTCATCACAGTTCTGAGCAGACTACATTATCACCCAGAGATGCAAAGGTCTCTGCTGGATAGAGACAGTGATTAAGAGATTCCAAACCCATACACAGTTTTGGTCAAGTTGCTTAGTTCCACCTTCACAGCTGCCCCCTGCATTACTGCATTTGATGTTCAGCACTTTCAAAAAAAAGGAGGCTATATTTTCAACTTTATCCATTTGTAAAATGGGAATAATCACCATCGTTCCTTTCACAGAGGGATAGCAAGATTTAATAGCTAAAATATCCATACTATTTGGGTTAGTTCATCCTTGTCTCCTGCTTCTGCAGACTCTTCATCACAGCACAGGAACCAGACACCAGTGGAAGAAGCTAGCAAGGGCTGCTATTGCTGCCCAGCCCACTGCCTCTGCAGGTGCCACCAGGAACAATTGCTAGTCCAGAACGTCAGTGGCTGCAATGACTGGATCCAGACCACAGTTCCCCTCCTCTTCCCCAGTGATTTGGGGATGTACAGACTTAGAGGCCATGGTTCAGTTATCAAAGAGTGTACTGTAACAGAACAACATCAGACAGGGCAAGGACAGCATTGCTACTATGGAACTAGAAAACATACAGCACAATACAGTCCTGCTCCTAGATACTACAGTAAGAGAGAAAATACATAGCAAGGATAAAAATAGGAGGGATACCAAGTTTAGTGAAGGATCACAGTTAAATGTGCATGTGTTCATGCAGAAGAACAGGTATATGGCCTCAGGCATGCATGCCCACATCTCCCCGCTCCCCATGTGTAGACCTCTCTTATATGTGGCTACCTTTCCAAGTGTGTTACAATATTCTGGAGAAAAAGTGTGATTTTTTAAAAAATAATTAATGTAGTCAAAATTATTGAAGAATCCCATGCAAACATGCAACAGGCTCTGTGGAATGCATCTCTGGAGAGAGCCACTTCTTTTCAAATACAGGAGCACCCTCTGGTGCTCAAATACAGGTTGAGCACCGTATTTAAATCTCAAAAATTAATTTCTGAAACGATCAGTAAGAAGCCATCTCTGCTATCTGTTCCCAGGGCACTATGCCTCAAAATCAGTAACCTTATAAGAGGAGGTAGAAATTACTAAATTATAAAGCACAGATCACCACAGCCTAGGTGATAAAGTCTTTCACGTACATAGGAAAACTGCTGACACAGGGGCACATGGCCTTCTTCAATACCCAGCCTCTAAAAATGCCAACGCCACAGGTTTTGAATGAGTATCAGAGCTGTCCACTCTAGGACAACTTGCAAGGGCCACCTCACAAAGTTTCTCTCATACTAGGAACACAGTAGGAAAAAAAAAAAAATCACCAAGAGGATGGTCAAATACTGGCACAGGCTGCCCAGAGAAGGTGTGCCATCTCCATCTTTGGATATGTTCAGGACTCACCTGGACACGACCTGGAGCAGCCTGGTCTAGTTAGACCTATTTTGAGCAGGTTGGGAGGCTCCTTCCAACCCAAATGGTGATAATATGATTCTTATTATAGCTTGGTGGCTCCTTGCCCAAAGGTAATGTCCATCCTCCCAAGCTTCTCCAGAGCCTACACAGATCTGTTAGGTTCACATATTAACAACAATCTAGACATGCTTTCAAAAAATTAAGAGCCCTGACACAACATTCTTAAGTATAAATTTTATCCACATGAAACCTGCCTGGATTTTGTATTGCCAACTGAAAGGAAAGTTTCTAGCTTTTCTTTATTCTTGGCAATGGTTCACGGAGTAATTCTGAATTTCTTCAGGTTTTGACAATATTAAAAAAACCCCATACAATTAGAACAGATATGTCACAATTATTAACTGCACCTACAACCCAAAGGATCCAGAGAGACAACTCTGGATGATAAAAAGAAATTAGTATTGAATTTATCATTAGGTAATGCTAAATAACTTTGTCTATCACACTGTCAACTATTTGAGCCAC